CAAACTTTTACCTCCTCCGCACCTTTCCTCAGAAAGCCATTGGAGGATGTGCTCCATCCAAATGAGAGCCTAAGTGAAAAAAGAGGAAGATCTGAGGAATGCAAGCGTAGTTCAACCTAAGAAAATCAATCTATGTAATACACCATATTACTAGAATGACGGGAAAAGAAAACATGGTCATCTCAATTGATGCAGAATAAACATTTGACAAAGTCCAACTGTTTCACAATAAAAAGGCACCTACAAAACAGCCCCACAGCTAACATCGTACCAAATGGTAAAAGACTGAAAACTTTCTCCCTAAGATTTGGAACAAGCCAAGGAAGCCCACTTTCACCTCTGCTATTCAGTATTGGACTGGAAGTTGTAGCCAGAGCAATTAGATAAGAAAAAGAAATAAAAGGCAACCAAAATGGAAAGGAAGAAGTAATACTATCTCTATTTACAGATGACATGATCTTATATATAAAGAATCCATGAGATAGCTGCTAGAGCTAGTAAATAAATAAAGTTGCAGGGTGTAAGATCAATACTCAAATATCATTTGTCAGAATTATGAGGCAATCCAAAAAAAATTAAGAAAGTGATTCGCTTAAAAATAGCATCTAAAAAAATAAAATACCTAGGAATAAATTTAAACAACGAGGTGAAAGACATATACTGAAAACTAAACATTGCTGTAAGAAATTAAAGAAGACCTAAATAAATGGAAGACACCTGTATTCATTGGTAGGAACACTTAGTATTGTTAAGATGTCAATACTGCCCAAAGAGATCCACAGATTCAGTGCAAATCCTCTCAAAATTCCAGTGGCATTTTTTGTAGGAAGGGAGAATTCATATGGAATTGCAAGGGGCCCCCTAAAACCCAAACAATCTTGAAAAAGAACAAAGTTGGAAGACTCAGACTTCTTGATTTCAAAACTTACTACAAAGATAAAGTATTCAAAACTGTGATATTTTCATAAAAACCAGACATAAAGACAAATTGCATAGAAGTGAGAATGCGGAAATAAACCCATATGTCCATGGCCAATTGCTTTTTGCTAAGAGTGCCAAGTCCATTCAGTGGGGGAAAGAACAGTCACTTCAAGAAATGGTGCTGGGACAACTGTATTTCCAAATGTAAATACAGTGGAGTGTATTTTTTAAATGTATTTCCACATTTTAAAAAAATGAAGTTAAAAAAATGAAGTTGGATGCCTACCTTACACCATATTCAAAGATGGAAAAAATGAATCTATGACTTAAATATAAGAGCTAAAACCATAAAACACTTAGAAGAAAACATAGAGGTAATTCTTTATGACCTGAGAATTAGCAATGGATTCTTGATGTGACACCAAAAGCATAAGAGACAGAAGGAAAAATACATTACTAGAACTTCAACAAAATTTAAAACTTCTGTGCATCAAAAGACATCATCAAGAAGGCAAAAAGACAACCTACATAATGGGAGAAATTATTTGTAAATTGTATATCTGACAAAGTTTTACTATCTGGAATATATACAGAACTCCTAAAACTAATCTTTGAAAAGACAAACAACCCAAATGAAAGGTGAGCAGAGGCCTTGACTAGAAATTTTTCCAAAGAAGATATACAAATGGCTAATAAACACATGGAGAGTTGTTTAATATTAATCATTAGAGAAATGCGAATCAAAACCACAATGAGATACCATTTCACACACACTAGGATGGTTATAATCAAAAAAATGGAAAATAATTGTTGGCAAGGATGTCAAGAAATTGCTGGTTGGAATATGACATGGTGCAGCCACTGTGGAAAACAGTTTGGCTATTTGAAGAACAGTGTGGTTCCTCAAAAAGCTAAGCATAGAATTAGCATATTACCCAGCAATTTCATTCCTAACTATATACCTGAAAAATTCTAACACAGATGCTGATGTCCCACGGTTCACTGAAGCATTATGCACAATAGTCCAACGGTGGAGACAACTCAAGTGTCCATCGATGGTTGAATGGGTAGAAAAAAATGTAGTATATCCATCCAATTGAGTATTATTCAATAGTAACAAGGAATAAATAACATGGATGAACCTTGAAAACATTAGCTAAGTGGAGTAAGCCGGACATAAAAGGCTGAATATTGTATGATTTCACTTACAAGAAATATTTAGAATAGGCAAATTCATAGAGACAGAAAGATTAGAGGTTCTAGGG